CTCTCCACTTCATGACATTCCCTCAAATCGCCGGCGCCTCAACTTCAATCGCGTCGCAGTGCAGCAACGACCTCTACGAGATCCAGACAAACGCCACCGCTTTATAGACAATTGTTGCTGCATGCTTAGATTTGCTACTTTGCTACTACTTCCAACATTCCGCTCCTTATTCCTTCTGCCGGCGGGAGTGTGCCGATATTGTTGGCACCTCCTTAATTCTATATCACTTCGCCTGTATCTGAATAAGTACCGTAAAGGTCATGCCATAAGCATGACCTGCTGCGATATAATTCTGTTTACTGCCCAGATGCCTTGTAACTTATATAGCCACGCGCATTATCGTTAGCATTCTACCACAGCACCCACGAGTGCAGGTCGCCTGTTCATAAAGCTTATTAGCTAATGTGTTCTATATAACACACTCTACCAGGCGCTATTCGCCTCAGGCTACAGTAAAGCCAAGGAACCACCGTTACATATCTTGACTTCTCTGAAATGCAGAAAGTGCACTTTTTTCAAAAAAAAAGACTTTGCAAGCAAACTGTGGTCTCGCTGGTAGTATAATCAAAACTCTTTAAGGCTGGGTGATTAAAAAAATTTTCTTTTTTATGACCATTTTCTGATGATCTTGATTTGGGAAGCATTTATACTGCAGAAGATGTCCTTTTAAAAAAACTCTGGAAACAAACGATGGTTTCGCTGGTAGTGCAATCGGAACTTTCTGAAGCTTATTCAAAATAAAATTCTTCGTTCACAAAAAATTCTTTTCCATGGGAATTCTGCGAAAACTCAAATTGGAGAGCATTTCTACTGCAGGAGTTGCACTCTTTTTTAAAGAGAAAACTTTGCAAGCGAACTGTTGTCTTGCTGGTATGTGGATCAAAGCTTACTAAGGCCAGGTATTCTTTGAAAGCATACTTTGCAAGCAAACTGTGGTCTCGCTGGTAGTATAATCGGGATCCTTTAAATGTGAATTGAAAAATTGTTTTTTTATGGAGATTTTGTGATGATCTCGAATTAGGAAGCATTTTACTGCAGGAAATGCACTTTTTTCAGAAAGAAGACTCTATACACAAACTGCGGTCTTGCTGGTATGAAGTCAAAGCTTTTGTGGACCAAGTATTTTGAAAGCAACTCTTATCTTCCATGGAAATTTTGTGAAATGCAGAAAGTGCACTTTTTTCAAAAAAAAAAAAGACTTTGCAAGCAAACTGTGGTCTCGCTGGTAGTATAATCAAAACTCTTTGAGGCTGGGTGATTGAAAAAATTTCCTTTTTATGACCATTTTCTGATGATCTTGATTTGGGAAGCATTTATACTGCAGAAGATGCCCTTTTAAAAAAAACTCTGGAAACAAACGGTGGTTTCGCTGGTAGTGCAATCGGAACTTTCTGAAGCTTATTCAAAATAAAATTCTTCGTTCACAAAAAATTCTTTTCCATGAGAATTCTGCGAAAACTCAAATTGGAGAGCATTTCTACTGCAGGAGCTCCTCTTTTAAAGTGAAAACTCTGCAAGCAAACTGTTATCTCGCTGGTATGTGGATCAAAGCTTACTAGGGCCAGGTATTCCTTGAAAGCATACTTTGCAAGCAAATTGTGGTCTCGCTGGTAGTATAATCGGGATCCTTTGATTGTGAGTATTGAAAAATTGTTTATCATGGAGATTCTGTGGTGATCTCGAATTAGGAAGCATTTTTACTGCAGAAGATGCACTTTTCAAAAAGAAGACTCTGCAAATAAACTGTGGTCTCGCTGTATGAGAGTCAAAGCTTTTGTGGACCAAGTATTTTGTAAGGAACTCTTATCTTCCATGAAAAAAAAATCTCTGAAATGCAGAAAATGCACTTTTTTTAGAATAAAAAACTTTGCAAGCAAACTCTCAGATAATTGCGGGGGGCAGGCGGTCCGCAAACTCGCGTTTTCTGGCAGACGGTCACCAGAATTTTGGGGCGTGGCCAAACCTTCAGCGAGCGGTACCTCTTTTACTGTCGAATGTCCTGCTAGCGGGGCAGAATACACAGTTTGCGGGCGCTCGTCAAATAATCTCTTTCAGCAAGCGCTGGCCAAACTCTCAGTAGGCGCTCGGACTCTTTCTGAGCAGTTTCGGGCTTACGTCGAGCAAGTGTGAGACTTTATGCTGCAGGGGTGTCATCGATGGTTTAATTACTCGAGTTTGAGGTACTTTTGCTTAGCGGAAAATGCCTGAGGGCTGTGCGATCCTCCACAAAGGACCGCGCGGCCCTCAACAATTTTGCATATTTTCGCGGAAAGCCCGCGAAAATGCGGCCAATGCGCCGCAACTAATCTGCAGGAAAACCGCATAGTTCACCGAGCATTCGTTTGAATCTGCAAGCGGGCCGCAAGAAATCAACGAACTATTTTTCCGGTGCCCGCTTGCTCAAAATTCGCATGGCCGCCTGCCCCCGGCGATTGTCTAAGCTGTGGTCTTGCTAGTAGTATGATCGCAACCCTTTACTGGGTGATCAAAAAAATTTCTTTCATGACGATTTTGTGATGATCTCGATTTGCAAAGCACTTTTACTGCAGAAAATGCGCTTTTTTCAAAAAAAAAACTCTGGAAACAAACGGTGGTTTCGCTGGTAGTGTAATCGGAACTTTCTGAAGTTTATTCAAAATAAAAATTTTCGTTCACAAAAAATTCTTTTCAATGGGAGTTCTGTGAAAACTCAAACTGGAAAGCACTTTTACGCAATTCTTATCTTTTATGGAATTTTCGTGGAAATTACACCTTGAAGAGAATTTTTACTGCATTAAATGCACTTTTTTCAGAAAAAAACCCTTACAAGCAAACTGTGGTCTCGCTAATAGTATTAGGTTGTCCCGAAAGTTTTGTCCGTTTTTTTTCATCGCTCACTAAAACTCACAGAACATTAATCCATGGACGACTCAGGTACCGTTTAATTCAGATTTTTATCCTCTTTCTTAAGGCTATGTTTGCTCCGTGATCTACGCTGTCTTTGCAATGTTATCGCCATGGCATTTTGAGCAGCCTAACAATAGCGCCATTTTTTTCCTGAATTTTAACAATTTTTATGCTGATGTTCTCAAAGAGCACTAGTGACTGTTATGTAGAGCAAATCTTTGGCTACATTGCACACATTTTAGGTTACATGAGGCGCATTTATTAATTCCGTTATAATTATTTAATTGATGAAAACCGCGGCTTTTTGTCTATGTTTATCACGTAAAAATACCGAAAATTTCAAAAAGCTGCTTTTTCAAAGCAACTCGAACTTGGTTATGTTGCACAAATAATGTTCAGTAAGGGTCATGTTTCAATTCGCAGAAACTTTGAGAAATTTCGCGTATTTGCTACAGTTACGTGTTTCATGACTTTGCCAAAAATTGAGACTTCAAAGAAATAATTTTTTGAAGCTAAACAGCAGATTAGGAGAATCTAGAAATGTTTCCTTCTAGTCCGAGAATTGTTCTATTTGATCCATATTTTGATCTTCCCGAAACTATGAAATGAAATTTTTAAAAAAGTTAGCCTAACTTCGAGCGGATAAAATTGAGAGGTGGAGAATTTCGGCAATTATCAAAAAAGTCATACAAAATTATGGATCGAGAATGTATCTATAAGAAAGAGAAGGAAAAGCTGCAAAAATGCATGTCGAATCTTATTCAGTTGTTTATTGAACGTGGTTTTATGGTGGTTTGAAAAAACGGACAAAACTTTCGGGACAACCTAATATGATCGGGACCCCTTGAATCTGAGTATCGAAAAAATTCTTTTCATGACGATTTTGAAACAGTGATCTCGTTGGTAGTACAAATTTGCAACTTTTTAGGCTTCCTTTGTGAAGTGGTTGCTGGTCGTTTAATTAAACAAGAACGAGCTATGGCAAATTCTCATACTCTTCACTTTTATCACACGAAAACTTCGTTAATCTTGTGTATATCTTCGGAGCTGAACAATTATGTATCAAACTTTTCTATACAAAATGAATGAAAACATAGTGTAGATTGACAATCTCAACTAAGCACTTACTAATTCTTAACCAAGCCACTTATAGCGACCCGAAGGGTCGCTAGTCACGATAAAGTTTCATTACAAAAATTTCCACTGTGTTCTTTTTATTTTTGTTGAATTTCCGCGACTGCCATTTTTTTGTTATTGACAGGATGGACCGCAAACAACTACAGGGTATAGGTAAGTTTATGCTTTGCGTGAATAACTTAAAACTCAGGACAACTCTTATTGAATTATAGTGACGATCATTTCTCGAAAATCTCGATTACTTGATGTGCAATATTTCTATAGTTGTACAAAATTTGAGCTTTGAGCTTTTATAGTGGTATTTTATAGATTGTTGCCGGCAAAGCTCGTACAATATTTTGTTCCTGGACTTACTGCATTATGATTCAGTCACATAGTGCTTTTGGCCTTGGGTTTACAATGTAGCCACTCGAAAGCTCTATGGACCACCCACGAGCGTTTGAAGGCGATCTTTTGAGGTTGACCCGACACAGCAACACTTTGTTGGACATCGCAGTATGGGTATGAGAAGCAATTTCCATCTTCGTGATTGAGCGGAAAACGCTTCGAGAGCGAAGCACCGATGGGTCGGTCACATATACGAGGAATAGACGACATATGAACACTGAGAACATTAAAGAGGATTCCTCCCTAGGCAAAACGCTCTTGAGAAAGACCTTCAACGAGAAGGGAAACATTCGTGGAACGGATGGGCCAGCTTAGACACCTGTGTACGATTTTCGCATTTGAAACTCGTGAACGTAGCCACCAAAGACAAACAAAAAATTGTAGACGTCTGAAGCGAGGGACAGGGAACATCGAGATCTTTTGTGCTGGTGCCTCACTTCATGTGAAGGCGGAACATCTGCGTATCTAAGTATGCGCTAAAAAGTTGTGAGTGATCAATTGAATTGGCATACGTTGTAACCCTGTCAGTCGCAGTGCTACATGACTAAAATCGAATCCACAATGTTCCTTTTAAACAGAATTAAACTTACATTTAGTGTATCGTAATCGTATTCTTTGAAAGTAGCAACGCATAAAAATCCAGCAAGCAATATTACTATAAACATGCTTTTCTTCATGGCTTATATTCGTGCACGTGACCTGAAACGAAAGATCAAATCCAGGATGCAATCAAAAAGCATATATAGCCCACCCACTGAATGCAAGACGAGTCCTTTGCTCAAATGCATGGAACTCGACTTCCTCTACCATTCTATGAAATTAGCTACGATTTGAGAAAAGTTATGGGCAATCATAGATTTGCTTGCGTTACTCATTGGCATGTCTCTGATATATTGCACTGCGAGTTTTCAGTAGTTTAGACCCAAACCATGCCATTCCTTCGATGCCAGATACTGTGAAGATCTGGATCCGGTAAGCATGAGATCAAACATGAGATCAAGAAGGTCAATGTACAGACTAGACTAAACGGAAAGTAATGGGCGACGTGATTTTTATCATATTTCAAGACTTTTTGTTTCAATAAGAAGCAGTGCAATTCAAAATTCACTTACATAAGCGACTTTTGCCTATCATTCTACCAACTCGTTAGCGCTCTCTCTCACTACACTTGGCCTCGCGCCTTGAAGAACTCAAGCAGGGTTAGGCTGGGTTCATATGATTCCCATGTTCTATTCTTGGATTAATTTATTTTCGGATTCAAGTTTGCCCGCTCAGAACGGAAGTTCATGGCGTTGGGAAACAAAGCAAGGTGTTACGGACTTTGCGTTTTAGAGGCGAAATAGGCAGGCATTCTCCATTTTTTTTCACTTATTATGAGCGTAGAAAATCCCATCGTGTTTCCTGCTCTTGGCCTCCAAAAAGGAAAAATTGATTACGCTTTAATACGTTACCATCTAAGTTGTACCAATCACTGTTGAATACAATACGGAAGAAGAAATGTGATACCAACGACTTCATCATTTAAAACCAGACTTTGGAATATTCGCGATTTTTTTCGAATAATAGAATAACCGAATATATTCGAAAATCAAAAATAACGAATAATTGAATCGTATATATAAAGCTGAATGTCTGTTTGTCTGTCTGTCTGTCTGTATGTATGTCTGTCTGTATGTATGTATGTTCCGAATAGAAAATTCCATTTCTGAACCGATCCGGACCAAACTTGGCACACATACACTTCGGGCCCCGGCGGGTGTCAGGCTACTTTTCGTCATCGATCGATATAGATTTTATCGATTTTTATCGATTTTTTTGCGGAGTTCACTTACGGGGCTGGGAGTTCGCACAGGGGGGTAATCGAGCATGGGGATTCCGAATACAATATTGGTTTTCAGGATTATCGATTACTTTTATCGATTTTCTCGATTTTTTTGCAAAGTTTGAGCTACAGGGCTGGGAGTTTGCACAAGGGGGTAATCGAGCATGGGGATTCCTAATACAATATTAGTTTTCAGGATTATCGAATACTTTTATCGATTTTATCGATTTTTTTGCAAAGTTTGAGCTACAGGGCTGGGAGTTGGCACAGGAGGGGTAAGTGGGCATGCTGATTTCAAAAACAACACAGGGAACGGGAAATGAAGTGTAGAAGTGGGCACAGGGAAAGGCTGTACAGGGATAGGAATGGGACTTTTATTACAGTGTTCTCACAGGGCCGGGCGGAGCCGGGTAAGCAAGCTAGTTTAGAATATTTTCAAGAACAGAAATGTCGAATATTCGAATCTTATATATAAAGCTGAATGTCTGTTTGTCTGTATGTATGTATGTCTGTACGTATGTTCCGAATAGAAAATTCCATTTCTCAACCGACCCGGACCAAACTTGGCACACATACACTTCGGGCCCCAGCGGGTGTCATGGGCTACTTTTCGTCATCGATCGATATCGATTTTATCGATTTTTTTGCAAAACTTGAGCTACGGGGCTGGGAGTTGGCACAGGGGGGTAATCGAGCATGCTGATCACCCCGTGGGGGTGATCAGCATGCTCGATTACAAATTCCAGCCCCCTAGCTCAAATTTTGCAAAAAATCGATAAAATCGACATCGATCGATGACGAAAAGTGGACTGTAACACCCGCCGGGGCCCGAAGTGTATGTGTGCCAAGTTTGGTCCGGATCGGTTAAGAAATGGAATTTTCTATTCGGAACATACGGCGGAGTCGGGTAAGCCAGCTAAAATCGAATATTTTCGAGAAACAAAAAAGTCGAATAATCGAATATCGAATATATTCGAATTGGAAAAGAACCCGAGTAGTCGAATATTTTAGGTCGTTCCGAAATTAATGTCGCTTTTTTCAAACAGGCACCACATGTCATAGAATCAAGATTTTCAAGAGATCTTAGGAGCATTCGATGCAGCATTTTATCCTCTGATTGCAATTCCAATACATACTATCCAGTGAGCTCTCGAAAAATTACCAAAATCTGCGACTGATGCTTTTTGCCATGGTCAAGTACGGCTATTTTTTTAAATTTTTGTACCTGTTCTCTGAAGAAGTACAAGTGACGAGTAAGTAGAGCAAACCTTATGAAACACAGAGTAATTCTTTCTTTTCCTTAGTTTGCTTCTTAGAGTTTCTGGAATGGATTTTTCAATGCCATCAAATTCCATATTTGGTCATCTCAAACCTCAAAGAAAATCAATCGGTAAGCATCTGAGGTGTCATTCGACGCAGCTCAATTCATTAAATTTCCCTAATAAAATCATCACAATTCAGGTTTTCTAGGGCGCCCCAGTCTGTACCTGGAATTTTCAAAAGTTGCTAATCTGAAGCGGTGAATTCTCGCTTGGTTTGTAAAATTGTTGCCAAAGAGAGTTAGAGTTATTGGTGTTATTGTTTATTGGCCAGAGTTATTGGTGTTTGATGCAGTTGTGTCTGAGACGACCCTGCTAAAATTTATCGGTTCCATCAAAAAATCTGTACAAAAATTATGACGAGCTCTGGAGAGTAAAAAAAAGCTGTGCTGTTTCCTGTATGGTTTGCTCTATCCATTCATTACTTGGACTTCTTCCGAGGGTTGTTATAAAAATTTAGAAAATTTGTGAAACTTGGCTTTCTGAAAAAGCATGGGTCGCAGGTTCTTTCGAAAAGTTATTGAATTTTGTGCAGCGCTTATATAACCATTAGAAAGAGAATGAAATGCTGCATCAAATGCTTCCAGAAACTCTTACACATCTTTGTTCCACGAGATGTGGCATACGTCTGAAAAAAGCGACATTACTTTCGGAACGACCTAATATTTGAGAAAAAATCAGAATAAACGAATATTTTGCATCGATTATGTCGAACATTCAAACAAATTTTGATCGAAATAGCGCATTGAAGGACTCCATGCAGTGGGCAACTTGGACAACAAACGATGGTTGCTGCTATAGCAGTCAAAATTGTGACGCTGTCATGTAGTTATTCGATTATAAGAAATTGTCGAATAATCGAATAACTTCTAAAAATAAGTACTCGAATGTTCGAATATATTCGAAAATCAAATTTTTCGATTAACCGAATAATCGAATAAATTCGAAATTGACAAATTTTGAATAAGCGAATATCGAATATATTCGAGATTTTGAAATTTTCGAATAATCGAATTTCGAATAAAATTTATTCGAATACTTTATTCGAATACTCGAATGTTTATTCGATTCGGTCCAAAGTATAATGGGCACGCTCTTCTGGAACTGTTTCCGCAGAGTTCTCGCACCGTGCTGGAACTGTGCGGGGACAGTCCGGAACTGTGCTGCATGCGCTGCAGCCGCCCCGCACCGTTTTGAACGGCGGTTGGAGAATTTTGACTCTTTTTAGCAATTTTTCTTCCATAATTCTCTCATTTTGGCCTTATTTCTCCGCCCCACTTCCTCTTTTAATTAGCATAACTTCCAACTCAAAGCGAAGTTGAAGAATAAGCGCTTTTCTGCTTTGAGTATGCGAGAAAACCTGTGTTCTTGTGCTCGTCCATTCTCTCTTCCCTAGGTTTGCTCAAAATTACTTTTTGTTCCAGGGAGCCTCTAGTTGTTCCAGGGAGCCTCTAGCCTCTAGCCTCTAGCCATTTGCCACGGATTAGGGAGTAGGAGCAATTCTGAAACTGCATGAATTGGGACTTGTCTCTAGTTTTTGATAAGTTTCGTTTCTGGATTTTTTCAGCCCTTCTCCTTTTTCTATATCATTGCTTTTTCGTTCTATCTTCTACCCCGCTTACTTGTGATGAGAAAAGCTGCGAACTTGAAGCGGGGTTGAGAGCTGAACGCTGTTCTGCTTCATGTATCCGGGATGATGGACCTTCGTGCGCTCATCCATTTTCTCTTCCATTTTCGTTTAAGCCTACTTCATGCGTTCCAGAAAGGCGCTGCGGAGTCTCTCATGTGTATTGAAAGGGACTTAGACAGGTCTCTAGAACACAGGCCTGAACGAAAATGGAAGAGAAAATGGATGAGCGCACGAAGGTTCATTTTCCCGGATACATGGAGCAGAACAGAGTTCAATCTTCAACCCCGTCTTCAAGTTCGCAGCTTTTCTCATCACAAGTAAGCGGGGTAGAAGATAGAACGAAAAAGCAACGATATGGAAAAAGGAAAAAGGCTGAAAAAGCCCAGAAACGAAACTTATTAAAAACTAGGAGACAAGCCCCAATTTATGCGATTTCAAAATTGCTCCTATTCTCTAATTTGTGGCTGATGGCTATGGAAACTAGAGGCTTCCTGGAACAAAAAGTAATTTTGAGCAAACCTAGGGAAGAGAGAATGGACGAGCACAAGAACACAACGCATACACAGAGCAGAGAAGCGCCTATTTTTTCAACCTCGCTTTGAGTTCGAAATTATGCTGATCAAAAAGGAAAGCGGGGTGGAGGAATCAGGCCAAAATGAGAGAAGTCTAAAAGGAAAACCGTTGAGAACGGTCAAAATTCTCCAACTTCCGCAGTTTAAAACGGTACGGGGCGGCTGCAGCACATGCAGCAGAGTTCCGGAACTGTTCCCGCACAGTTCCAGCACAGTGCGAGAATTGTGCGGGAACAGTTCCAGAACATGGGAATCAGTATGAACCCAGCCTTAC